CTTGTATTTAATTTACAAAGGTCCACTACTAGTATTAGTGATTAATCCAATACAATGGTGCTATATACACCAATTAATATATACACTAGTATATTAACTAGTGTTATATCATTATTATTGACCTTACCTATTATATAAATTACAAATATTTAAAACTTCTAAAATTATATTACATTATCAATTGATACATTATTTAATACACTAATTGATGCATATAGCATTAGTCAATCCCGTAATGCCACATGAGATAATGAATAAAAACGTGGTAAATAAATGTATATATTTTAGCATTATTAATTTTAGAATTTCAATTAATAATTAAGCCACCCATGCAAGAAAATGAGCAAACAATGTTAGGAATTTTGTTAAGTAATTAATACATGATAGTACAATTGTGTTAAATGGCTTACCAAACTAGGCACAGCACAGACCAGGATGACAATATGAATACGAAAATTAATTACAAACACAATTTATATATATATATATATATCTACATAATAAAGCATGATAATTTTTGAATTTATCTTATAAATATTTATCTTAATAGGACATTTGGATGGCTCATATATATTCAAATTATAAAACAACGGTTGAGATATATTTTTAAAAAAATATCCTATATGTACATTTTCTATTTTCTCGCTTCTCTCTTACTTTTTTTTTTCTCACCCATCATTCTATGATCTCATGATCCTAACTTCATCTCTCTTTTCCTTTTATTTTTTTTTATTTTTTCCTATTTTTATTTTTCTCTCTATTTGTTTATTTATTTATTTATTTTTCATTTTTGTTTATTTATTTTTATTCATATTATATGGAAAAGTCTGCGATTTCAGAATTAGAAGCCAAATTTTACTGTATGTTGTAGAGATTATATTAATGAATTTTTTAGTCCACAATTTGTCCTACACACATTTGTCCTACTAGAACATTTGGACGGCTCAGATCTATTTAAATTATAAAACAATGGCTGAGATATATTTTCTAACAAATATCCTACATATACATTTTCTATTTTTCCACTTCTTTCTTTTACTTGTTCCTTTTCTCACCCATCATTCTATGATCCCATGATCCCACCTTCCTCTATCTTTTCTTTTTATTTTTTTTATTTTCTCTCATTTTTATTTTTCTCTTTATTTGTTTTTTTTATTTTTTATTTTGTCCTTTTGGTTTATTTATTTTTATTCATATTATATGGAAAATCATGCAATCCCAGAATTAGGAGTCAGATTTTACTGTATGTAATAGAGATTATATTAATGAATTTTATAGTCTACAAATTAAATGAATTTGAACAATTTATAATTATTTTTAAATATATTGAATACTTGATAGACTTCATAAATTTAGACTTCATATGAACCTTCAACATTTATATAATAAAGTAGGGTGATTTTTGAATTTGTCCTACACATATTTGTCCTACTAGGACATTTGGATGACTCAGATCTATTCAAATTATAAAACTACGATTAAGATATATTTTTCAAAAAATATCCTACATGTATATTTTCTATTTTTCCACTTCTGTCTTACTTTTTCTTTTTCTCACCCATCATTCTATGATCACACCTTCATCTCTCTTTTCCTTTTATTTTTCTTTCTATTTGTTTTTTTTTTTCTTCTCATTTTTGTTCACTTATTCTTATTCATATTATATGGAAATGTCTGTAATCTCAAAATTAGGAGTTAGATTTTACTGTTTATTGTGGAGATTATATTGATGAATTTTTCAGTCTACAAATTAAATGAAGTTGAACAATTAATTATTATTTTTAAATATATTGAATACATGATAGATTTCGTAAATTTAGATCTCATATGAATCTTTAATATCTATATAATAAAGTATGATGATTTTTGAATTTGTCCTACACACATTTGCTCTACTGAGACATTTGGATGGCTCAGATCTATTCAAATTATAAAATAACAGCTGAAATATATTTTTCAAAAAATATCTTACATGTACATTTTTTATTTTTCCGCTTCTCTCTCTTACTTTTGCCTTTTCTCACCCATCATTCTATGATCTCATGATCCCACCTTCCACTCTCTTTTCTTTTTATTTTTTTTATTTTCTCCCATTTTTATTTTTCTCTTTATTTGTTTATTTTTTTTTTATTTTCTCCTTGTTGTTCACTTATTTTTATTCATCAGATCTATTCAAATTATAAAACAATGGCTGAGTTATATTTTTCAAAAAATATCCTACATATACATTTTCTACTTTTCCGCTTTTCTCTCTCTTACTTTTTCCTTTTCGCACCCATCATTCCATGATCCCATGATCCCGCCTTTCTCCTTCTTTTATTTTTATTTTTTTATTTTCTTCCGTTTTTATTTTTCTCTGTATTTGTTTATTTTTTTTATTTTATTCTTTTTGTTCAATATATTTTATACATATTTTCATACAATATATGTATGCCCGTAATCCACTAGGACATTACGGGCATACATACAGTTTTCATATAATTATATAAATAAAAGCAGTATTGTATGTATGTTCGTGGAAATTGTATGCATGCTAGGCATATCTATCTATCTAGTTATATATTATATAAGTGAAAACAAGTTTTTGTGAGGAGTTTTGTGAGAACTCCAAAATTTTATAATAAATTTGTGATTTTATTAAATTAAAAAATAAATTTAAATAATGTTGAGATTATAATTATATTTTAATTCTAATATTATTTATATCGTGCCTTAACACACAGACATACGCTAGTATATATATATAACGGGTCATTTTATAATATATATAATATTACAATCAAATATATTATTGTATATTACTTGAGCGTTATTTTTACAATCAAAATACAATGGCCCAGGTATTTTTGCAATTAAGAGCTATAATAGTAGTATTTTGACTTGAAATAAGAGAATCATAAAAATCATATCATTATGCATAAAAATTTTGTTGTATGAAAAAAACAAAGAAGAAAAGATTAGCACTAAAAAAAGTGGTGAAATGATTAACAAACTTTTATCGCAAACACACTACAACTATTTGTAATTTTCAGCACAATTTTTATTTTTTTATTTATTTATTTTATTTAAAAATGCCTTAGACCCCTAGCTGGGGTGCTGGGATCGGCTCCTATTGGCCAAAAAAAAACTTTTTTCTTTTTTTTTGATTTTCGGCCAATCCCAGTGCGCCACGTCACTGGGATTGACCCCCATTGGGGTCTGAAGCACAACCCAGAGGTGAAAGACAATAAATATTTCAACAGTATAAATTGTTATGGACAAATTATTTTTGTGGAAATCGTAAAACCTACTATATAGACCTCAATAACAACGCACCAAAGTTAATTTTTGGTTAATACTTGGAAGTAATTATTTATATAAATTATTGGATAAGTTTTGACTACCTTTTATTAGCCAACAAATTTGATTAATTTTCTTTATGGACAGAAATTATTCAACGAAATTGGTTGGTCTTAAAAACTCATCATAACCATTTGTAATGGAATTTCATGAAAGCATTCCAAAACACAAATTCTAATATGTTTGTATGTTGAATTTTAAAAATATAATTAAATAAAATTAATTCTATATACTTATTTTATATAAATAATTAATCAAAAATAAAATTTTTAAAATGATATTTATTCATTTTCTTCCAATTATTTCAACCCAATCAAAAAAAGGAAAAAAAATGTGGGTTCTTTGCAAGTCCAGTATCCAAATTCACATCACAAGATACTCATCCCAAGAGCACCAAATAATAAATTTTCCCCAAGGCTCCATCTCATTTAAAAAAGAAAAGAAAAATTAGAGAAGTGTGAAACTGAAAGAATAAATTTAAGTTTTCTTATAATTTTTTTAAAATAAATTATTAACTTAATTACCATATTAATATGAGTGGTATAATTATTATTATTTTTTTGTGTGTGGATATTTTCATCAATCTCTAAACAATATTTATTTTTTTTCATTCACATTCTACCACTTTTATCTATACTATTATATAAAGTAAATATTTGAGTCGATGTCATAAAACTTCTTTTATATGCCAAAATTACTCTTCATCATTTTTTTAAAAATCTACTCATAATTTCATAGTCACCAAAAAATTTAATCTCCAAAATATTAATTACTTGGGTGTATTTGATAATCATTTCGTTTTCAATTTTTAATTTTTAATTTATATTTACAAAAATTTAAAAACTGTCATAAAAACTTATTTAATAATTTTTTTGATTTATAAATGGGTGTCTCAGTTTATATATTTGAGGAAAAAATATAAACTCAAAAAATAAGTTTACATTAATTTTTAAACAGAAATTTAAAAATTTGATTAATAATTTTTTTTAATTATTTTTTTCTCAATTAATTTTTTTCAACTAATTTTTTTTAATTATTTTTTTTTAAAATTATAATAAGTAGGACTCCATTGTCATAAATAATAAAAAATAAATATAAATATTATAAGCCTAAATAAACATATTTTTTAGTTTATGTTTTTAAAAAAAAATTAACATTTTATTCAAACTAAACGCGTTTGTAGTTTATATTTTTCTAAAAACAAACAAAATCAATTTATAAAATTTTTATAAACATAAATAAAAAACGTAAGCATTACCAAACGCGACCTAATTATTAATAATTCTTATTCATGTAACCCGCTCATTTAACAAGAGATTTATCTTGAGAGACCTCAACTGATACTCATCCAAATCAAAAGTAAAATTTCTTGGAGAAACTCACAAGTTGAAGAAACATAGGTATGGTTTGGAATTAGGTTAAAGGTTGGTTTTCTTAATTTTTTTGTAATCTTTTCTAAAAAAAAGTACAAAAAAATAAAATAAGGTTAAGTTTGGCAATACTAAAATAATCTATCTTTTTATCTTTTTTCCATTACATCCCCTCTCTATTTTTTTTACACATATTTTCGTAAAAAGATAAAAAATACACTTATTTAGACCACCCTAATAAAATCAAAAAGTCAATAAACTATCCTTAAACCTTGTTTTCAAAATAGGCCATAGTAACGAAGTAGAATTTATTGACAATTCATTAGAAAATAGTTAGTAAACTGTTACAATTACACCAACAAGAACAGCTCTAACCACAGAAATAAAATAAAAATAAAATGAAAATGAAAACATATCACAATTTATTGAATTTCATTTCACTAATTTTCTTTTTTTCCAATTTTTTTGAGTGTTTATTATTATTACTATTAATTAATCACTCAACTTTCATGGTTGACAAACAATCTGGGAACCGAGTATCCCTGCATCGCGGGGCACGAATTGAGCCTGCGCCATCACCAACGACTTGTAGATCTCGATGATCATCTTCTCATCATACTCCTTCACTGGGCCCCTCCCGAACCCAGCAATCGAATTATCAACCACTCCTCCGAACCCACTGCTCATCACTCCCTTGTTGGCGATCCGAATCATGAAGTTCACGTACGCGTCCCGAAGCCCGATCAGAAATTTCTTCGGAGAGAAGAATCGGAGCTTCGGAGAGATTTTGATCCGCCAGAACCGCCGTCTGCGGCGGCCGGACCGCCCTAGCTCCACCTGGTTGTTGTTCTTCCGCCGCCGGCCCGACTTACTGAGCCGCTCGTAGTTCTTCCTCTTCCAGTACCCTCTCAGGCCTTTGGACATGGTCGCCGACACACCTTCCATTTTGTTGTTTTGGCTTAATTTTCTCTTTCGAGTATTTTGGGGTAGAAATGAAGAGTGTAGAGAGAGAGAGAGAGAGAGAGAGAGAGTTGGTTGGAGACATAAATGGAAGTGGTGCCAACTTTTAGGACCTGTTTGGATATTTTAAATAAGTGTACTTTTTATTTTTTTGAATTAAAAAGTTAAAGAAAAAAAATATGAGCCTGCGTTTGGTTGTATTTTGTAAATGTGATTTGAAAGTATGAGTTATATTTTGAGTTTGTGTGTTGTAGAATTATGATTTAAGTGTAGAAAATTTGTTTGGTAAAGAGTTTTGAAAATAGTTTATGGAATAAACCGTACAGACAAAAGCGTAGGGGCAGCGTGGGGCAGGGGTAGGAGATTGATTCTCTCTTTTTCGGGAATAAATTGAACGGTATTGTTCGACCTATGGGGGCCCACTACGGGTCCCTGTTTTGTTAATCGAAACCGTTAATATGTAGAGCTCATCGAGTACTATATATTTATAAAAAATCACGTTGATTGGATATCAATAGCTATCTGATCGTGTTAGTTTTTCTTGTCAATTGTTAATTATAACACCATTCATTTTTTATACAAAACTGATTTGATCATATAGTTACCGATTTCCGGTCAACGTGATTTTTTACAAGCATATAATTTTCGACGAGTTCTACATATTAACGGTCCGAATTATCAAAACAAAACCCGTGATGAACTCCCATGGCCCAACATTTTCGTCCAACTTAGTGATTTTACATGTGTAATTCTTTTTTTTTCCCCTCACATGGTAGTAAAGGGTCAATTCAGCCTTGAAAATTGTGTAAATTTTGTTTGATTAAAATATTATGTATATTAATTTTTTAATTTTTTTAATTTGTGAATAGTGATAACTTTTTTGTTCTTTTTGTAACTTTTTAACTTTTTTGAAACACCCCAAATCAGGCCTTAGTGTCACTTGGTCCCCGCAAAGTGAATTGAGTTAGGGCTGAGCAAGGAATCTCTGAAATCCATAATCCGATCCAGTCCAGTCTAATCCGATAGGTTTGGATTGGTTTTTTGAATTCGTGGTTCGGTTTCGAATTGAACAATTAAAAATCCGCAGTTTACGAATTGGTTCCGGATTAAACTCCATGGTTCCGGATTGGAACCGATCCGGACCATATACAAATAGTCTATATTTTTATTATACATCCTCCCCATAGTATCTTTTCTTATTCCATATAAAACTTAAACTCAAACCTAAACCTGCATAATATCTTCTTTTATTACTTTTATTTGTTAGTTTTTAGTTTTAATTTGTAATGGTTTAAATACTTATGGTGAAACTAATTTTCTTTTGGTTGTTTAAATTCTAGAACAGTATGTCGCTATTATAGAAAGACATGTTACTATTGTGGAACTAATATAGCACTATGTTTATGTTTTTATGAAATTAAAGTGTGATATATATATTTTTTGTTATTTAATTATGTGAATCCGTGGTCCTAAACCGATCCAATCCGTGTTTAAATGGATTGGTTCGGATTGGTTCCATGATTTAAACGGATTGGATTGGTTCCAATTTTTCAAGAACCGTAAATAACGAATTGGTCCTGGTTTTACCTCCAATCTGGCCCAATCCGGACCATGCTCACCCCTAAATTGGGTTGCGTTTGGACCGTCTCTAGTCCAAATCTGAGACAGTCCGTCCAGTACAGCCTATTGAATTTATTTTTGGATTTTTTTTGATAATTTAAATCCTTCACATTTTTAAATTTGTTGAATATATTATTTCTGTAAAAAATCATGTCGATCGGATAATGAATACTATGTATTCGAATCACTTGTGTCTAAAAAAATGAATGGTCAGAAAATTAACGGTTCATAAAAAGTTGATCTGAATACATAGTATCTGTTATCCGATAGACGTGATTTTTTTACAGGGATAATGTACTCAACAATAAGGGTGCAACTCGGGCAGGTTCGGTCTGATTGAGAGATTGTCTAAACCTAACCCAAGTTGTGCTGAGACCTACCTAGGCTCGAATTGTAACCCGAGGTTGCCTGTCCAAGTCCAACCCAAGTTAAACCCGAATTGTTAATGAATTTCAATTTTTTTTTTTTGCAGCTGCATTATTAAATTCGGTGGTGCTACATGCACCAATTAATGTACACACTAGTGTACCAACTAATCTTATGTCATTATTACTAATCCCACATATTATACAAATTATAAATATCCAAAAACTCTAAAATTATGTCACATCATCTGTTAGTATATTAATTGGTACATATAGCATTATTTTATTAAATTATTAAAAGTTAACTCTATTTACATTTTTTTTAGAAAATCATTAATAACATCAAAAACAAATAATTTGTATAATGTAAGAGATGTGCCGTTATAGTAGTCTTTACAATTTATGAGTGAAAAAAAAGATTTTATATTATTTGTATATATACTATATATTCAATAAGATTTAATAATTTAAATTATTTTAATATCATGTAATGACTAACAATTTATATGTATATTTGATATTTTTATATATCTATATATGTATAATTCGGGATTCGGGTTGCTCGGATTATTTGACATCTTTGTCCAAACCCGTTCAAATTTAATTCGGCCTTTTGAATTTTCACCAAAGTCCATAAGAAATTTGAAAATATTTTATCCAAATCCTAAAAAAAATCGGGGTGGGTTCGGATTGCTTGGGTTGAGCCCGCCCAAGTTGCCCTACTCAATAAATCCTAAAATATGAACGGTTTAGATTATTGAAGAAGGACCCAAAAGTATATCCAATAGGCCGGACTGGACCCTCCAATCTAGATGGTGGACTAGAGACAAGCCCTAGCCAATTAGGTTTAGGTTAGATTTAAAAAGGTAAAAAATTAATTTTGTGTGTAAGAATAAAGAAGATGTCCAGAATTGCAACAACTATAGAGGAATCAAGGTAATGTGTCATATAATGAAAGTGTGAGAGATGGTGATGGAACGTTGATTGCAAGATATAACAAAGGTGTTAGAGAATCAATTTGGGTTTATTCCTGGTAGGTCAACAATGGAAGCGATCTATCCTTATTCTCTGAGTCTGTTTCTGCCAGGGAGCCAGTTGTGCCAACAGATTTGAATGAAACAGCAGCAATTTTCATACTCTTGTGTTTGCTTCTGCCGTGTGCCAGTGGTGCCAGAAGTTTGAATGAAATGACAGTGCTCTTCGCCTGCCTTTTCTGTGCCTTGAAATCATTGTATCGACCTAAGTTTTTTCAAAACTTTTTTTTGAACACTGCGGTGAAAACGAAGAGGAAGGAATTCCTCGGGTTTTGTAAAATTTTGATCATTTTGAGAGAAAGAGAGGCGTGCTAAGCCTTTTTGTGAATGAAATCATGCTTGTCGGCGTGAGTACTGAGAAGGACCCTGGCCTGATCCAGATTGGTTCCACACTATCTTCGGCGCGAGCGATTCGTCGCCTTCTTAAAATCTTTCAAAAACAAATATTTTACGCGGCCTTGTGAAGACCTGTGTGGAATCGTTCTTGAGGTCGCGCAGCCTAGGATCGCTCTCAGCCTCAAGATTCAACCCGTTTGTTTTCCGATTTTGAACCCGTTCAGAAAGTTCAACGGAAAAATGCCGTGAAAGGCCCGTGTGGCCAGTTTTGAGGTAGCCTTCGATCAAGAAGCATCAAAGCCGAATCAGAAGGAGTGGATCTCGCCAAAAGAAGCTCGTGGAGCAACCGGGGTGGATACTTCCGCAAATCAGTGCAACAGCCGTTCTCCTAGACACAGAGAGGCTTCAATTCCAAAAAACCATTTGGCATGGACTTGCTACACTTTTACCCTTTGAGAGGCTCGCTGGGCCGAAAACCCGGAAGGGCGACCCAGGCAAAAGTTAGAGCAAGAGAAAAATACAAAAAGGACAAAAAAAAAGAAGAAAAGAAAAAAAATGATGATAAAAAAAAGAAAAGAAAAAGAAAAAATGCAAAAAAAAAGAAATGAAAAGAAAAGAAATGAAAAAGAAGCTCGCAAGGTCGAAAACCCGCATTGGGCGCCTTGGCAAAAGTGAGAGCCAAACAAAGTGAAGGTTAAAATACCCGAGTGGACCTTAACCGGAACTACGTAAGGCTTGATTCCCATGTTTGGGATACGTAGGCAACTTCATCATGAAGTCCAGCCCCCAACGCTTTCATAGCGTCTCAGTCCATGCAATGGTTTCAATTTCGTTCCAAAGTCCAGTGGCCAACACCCTTCAAGGTGATTGTGTCCATATATGTGTTGTGACCGTCTTCGTCATCTCTGTGTCCAAGAGCTCGACCACCGCCAATGAAGACTGTCTGCGGACTGCTGCGGCACCATCCCAAACAAGGGGCAACTTTCCGTTGCCACCCGCCGTCGCGAGACGCCATTCAAACTAGGGGAAACTTTCCGTTGCCTCCCACCCCCCTTCAAACCAGGGACAATTTTCCATTGCCTCCGATCCGAGGTTGCGCGTCTCGAAGAGTAAGTTCCATGCTCGTTGAGCATTGACTGTTTGAAAAATAGTTTTTGAAAATTTTTACTGAGGTTGACTATTTTCTCGAAAACAATTTCATTTTCCAAAATCGGACCATTGTCTTGGACCCAAAAAAGGAAAACTTTCAGTGCTTGCTGCCTGACTTGCATGCTTTTCAAATCAAAAATCGAACAAGTACGTTAATCTGACTCTCGTTTTGATCAAAACCGTTTTAGTAGAAAGCAAAAACGAAAAGAATGGTTAAAATGATGAACTAGGGGCACAGTTGAGCCAGGCGTTCTGTCTTTCCCCCGTCATCGACGTACTTGCCAGAAGGGCGCTCTGCCCGCCGGAAGAAATAGCCGTGAGCTAACGGCATCAGGCGTGAACCCGCAACTTCCTATTTATCCATCAATCACCCCGGGGAGGGATGAAAAATGAGAGAACGAAGAATAGAGAGGTGTAAGTTGAGAGAAAAGTGAGGAAAAGGGTTTTGAGAAACAAAATCCGAGCTCGAGAGCCGAGTGATGTGAGAATCACAAATCAGATAGGGCGGGAAACACTGCCTAGAGAAACTGGCTCCTCATGATCTGAGGTCCCCCGTCTTCATTAACGCGTCTGTATGTCATGTCTTTTGTTTTGTATATCTCAACCTTTGTTTTGAGTCTCTCCCGAGCGTGCCTCGTTGTGTTTAGGTCGTGTACCTCTTTGTTTGAGTCCTCCCTGCTGTGTTCAGTAGTAGGCTCGATATCCCAGTTTGAAAAACCCTCATTCGATTTCAAAAATCGTTTATGCTCAGAATGCTGTGCCATTCTCTACATTTGAACGTGTTTCGACTCCAACCGGTTCCATCTTTGAGGTCCGTCTTGTCAGATTGGGCCGTTTGTTGAGAATTGCTGTGTGCAGAATGAACCGAATGCTGTGTTATGGGCTGAATGCAGATTAATCCCCAGTAAAGCAAGGGCTCTGTGTCAAGAATCAAGCGGTGGGTTGCTTGGGTTATTTTGCCGTCGGCTGTTTAGTTATCTGATTATTACAGTGCAAGTGTTCAATTTTCAGACGACCAATCAGTTCCATTTACATTGAGGTGTAACATGATGAGATGCGATGCAATGCATGAAATGTGTAAATGTAAACACTTTTTCACATAAAAAGTCCGTTTCATTTCATTATCTTTTTTTCAAGTACAAAGTTTTGGAAACAAAAAAATCTGCCTGCGGCAGTACAAGGTAATTTATCTACCAACCCAAAAGAAAAGTACAAGAAAGAAAAGATAGCAAAAATCTGCATCTATGTCCAGCGACTCCGGGGGGTCGTCAGTCCGTCCTGGTCCTCTTCCTGGACGAGGGTCCAGGAACATCATCAGCGTCGTCATCAGAGCCCGAGCTAGAACCGTCTCCGGTCTCCTCCTCCGATGACTCGGACTCCGCCTCTGCCTCCGCCTCTGACTCCTTGTCGTCGTCATCATCTGGGACTGGAGCTCGCGAGCTGCTCCCGACGTGAGTACGCCCTTCCCTGGTACGGGGAAATATCCGGCCCTCCTCATCTCTCCCCCGAGCAGGGACAGAAGGTCTAGCTGGAGCACCTCCTGCCATGGGAATCTGGAAAGGAGGCTGAAAAAGTACACAAAAAGGGAAATGCATCAGTACACTGTGAACAGTTTA